CTTCGCGAATCCACCAAATATGGAATATCTACAGCTTGCTGGCTAGCTAAAGCTAGAATAGTAAAAAAAACAAAAACATAATTGAAGCCTTCGCTTGGACTCCTCGCGCAATTCTTCAAGAAAAATAGAAATTTTGCGGCTGCGTATACCGAAGGTGATTCGACTTTGTGTTACGCTCGGCTACTCTACACTCACGATTTTATCGACTATATCCGTGTCTTTCCGTACCGTGGAACGACCATGCAGTAATTAAGTGCGATTCTTCGCTTGATTACGCGGAATCCGTTTGGACGATATGCATATATATATATATATATATATATATATATATATTATACATTGTGCATTTCTTTGTGTTTCGTTGAAAGACTCGGAAGAACAAGAAGATGAGAAAGTGTGTACGAGAGAAGAGAAATGGTGTAGGATAACCTGTGTCACCGGTCGTTAATAACGATTCCTTCTCTCTCTCTCTCTCTCTCTCTCTCTCTCTCTCTCTCTCTGGTTTCTGGCGAAACCACTTGAAATATGTATTTTGTTATTACCGGAAGTAGGCTAATAGAGCAGGTTTACTAGACCCACTAGACTACATTTCTTTATGTTTAGACGAAAACAAGACTGCCCTTAAAACGTTTTAAACCATTCGTTGACCGATTGACCGAATTCAGTAAGTTCGGTAAGCAAAGTCAGGTCCATTTATAAAATCTTATATATAGTATAGACGCGTAAAAACGTAAAAAAAAAGATACATTTTCGAGAATCATCGAAATCGATAACCTTGTATTCGTGAAATGGATCACCGTGACAGATCAAAGAAATGAACCGACTGTAGGAGTTTATTAATGTTTTTAAAAGCATTCAGCGTGAGCTCGTACAGTTACGTGCAAGGGATCTCAAGCTGGCCGCGTGGCAAACAAACGTACGGAATCATACGCGCATTGAAATTCCCTCCAATCCCTTCAAAGCGAGTAGCCGATTTTTATCAAGTACATGACCGGTTACTGGGCGAAGAGCTCATAAACTGCATTCGACATAGATGCACGGGCAAGCACGCGAGGAATACGAATGGTAACGCACCTTCCAGAAGAATAAGAGTAACATGAGCGAATGGATTCTTTTCGTATGGAATTGTTTTTCGTCGACTATGTCGCCTGATATAATACGAAGTAATTAACATGAACGAAAGAATCACTTTTCGATTTATTTACGATGCATTTATATCTACCTCTTTTATATCTACATTCTTTTCGAAACGTTTCGATAAAACACTAACGTACCATCTATTATAATTTACTACAACGCGAAAATTTGATAATCACGAACAATGTGAAATATTTCAATTATTATTTATAATATGTTAAAAAAGATTCACGAGCGAAGAGTAAAACAAATGTCATTTAAGCAAGTTACATTTGTCGTGTAAGTTATGTATGCGTTGATCATGATCCACCATGTGTAATTCTAATACGAAAAAGAATTTAGTTATAAAGATGTCGCGGCTAGAAAATTCTTTAATTTTTAATAGAAATGTTTGAACATTTTTTTTTACCTTATTCACATCTTTATCCTCTTTCGAATTCCCTTGAAATAAAAATTCAATTCTTAGCGACATCTCAAGTTTTACACTATCTAACGACGTAACGGTAATTCACTAATTTCTTATTAATAGATTCACGCGAGTCCACGGAGCTTTCTTTCTCACGTTAAAAAAAAAAGGAACGTTTTTACTAGTCGCTATGTCCCTCTCTCTATCTTTTTTACTCGTATATCTCGTCTCGGGTCAACGTCCGTTTCGTCAAAGAAATTTCATCGTGGGGACGCGACCGGTTCATTTGTATTCACGTCTCGTAATTCCGGAGCGTATCCAAATTCTGCAATAATCGCCACGAAGCACGTCCGTGATTTCGTGAGAGCGATGTACCAATTTTCGTAAATCGAGATATTTCGAGAGAAGATAAAGGAAAGGCATAGTATATTTTGACGAATACAATTCTGATATTTTAGAATGATAAAGATGAAAGAGAAAAAGAGACATCAAAGCTTAGAAAAATGTAGGTTTTATGGATCGTTGAATGAAACCAATGAACTCAATGTTTTTCGATGATCAACGACATTGAATTCTCGATCCTTTTAAAAAAATGTCCGATGTTTTACGATGGGCAATGACGACGATCGATAGGTCGAACGCCTCGATAAACATCGAACAGTTCGATTGCTTTGAGAATTACGTGATCGGCCGACCGTCCATCAGCCTCAAACGATCGCAACATCGTCCTTTCTTCCCATGCACGAGCGTCTTTTTTGAAGACGACGAGTGGACAAGTGTCAGTATTATCTCTCTCTCTCTTTCTCTTTTTCTCATTCTCTCGCTCTTCATGGCTTTTACTATTCGGTATGGCTGTGGGAGTACACTTACTTGGTCACTCACTTTCATCTATATGTACATTCTACATGATTGAAACGTTTACTCAAGCGACCTATCCATAACTTCGTAAAATATCTATGCTTTCCTTACGCAAGGTATTATAGTTTAAAAATAATTTCACTTCGTTAATTTGCCTGTCGATAAATATTATAAAAATTTACGAAAGAATAGATGCGCTGAAATAAAGAAAAAATTGAGAGTGAAAAAGTATGCGTTGAAGATCGATCGATAGCTCTTGGTAATTTTATTTTTTAAGGATTTTTACTTTCAATATAAATGAGACCAATTTTATTTTTCCTTTCACTCGAGCACGATCAAGATCTCTCTCTCTCGATCTTCAGAAGGACCACGTTAGGCCTCGATTTGCTACGGTTATTGCCCCTCTCGGATCGCGTGAGCATAATCGCTTCTTACTTACACCCCATTACTTCATTTTATTTTCATCGCTGCACCTAACGAGCAGTAGAACCGGAATTGCGCGCTACCCATCCACGATACGGGCAAAAGGCGGTCTCGGTAATTAGCGTTTGATAATTAGTTATTAGTCATTGATCACGTAAGAAACATTCTGCCTTAGATGTACTTTGCGTTCTTAACGTAGATCTATCGTCAACGAGTTTCACGAACGTTTTGAATTTTTCATCGTTTTTACTTTCATAGACTCTATTATATAATGATCACTATTAATTATCTATTTATGTTATAAGCGATAAATATAAGAATTTACTATTTTAAGTTGAAATATGAAAATATTTTAGAGCAAATTATTTTATACAAATTTACGAATAAAAGGACGTTAATTAAAAAAGAATTTAATTATGATGGATCCTAGTGAGAATAGAGAAAGTCTCGTAAAGACAAGTGAATCGAGAATAGATTATTACAGATCTTGTCTTTCGATAGATCGATTCAAACGTGAGAGACTGGAATCACATAAATCAGTGTTTTTTCTTCGATAGAATAGATTATTTATCAGATCAATTTTTATAGATTATAAAAAAGGAAGAATTTTGCGTAGAAAAATGAAAGATTGTTAGTCGGTAAATCAATATAATAGAAGTTGTTTTATGTGTTGAATATGTTTTTCTCACTCCTCTTATTGACTTCTATTGTTTTCAAGTCGAGTAAATTGTTTAGATCACTAATCTATTCGAAATTTTACTTATCTTATTTTTGTTGAGTCATATAACATACATAAATAAATACAAGACGAGATATCATGCAAAATTTTACGATGCATCGTATACATTGGCTTAATTCTATTCGTCGTCGTCGTTGCCGTCGTCGTCGTCGTACTCATGGTATTAAGAGAATTCGATCCACCGCAGGAATTCTTTTTATTCACGCGCGTTTCTCTCCATCATCGTCGGAAGAGAAGCTAAAGAAGTCGAGGCCGACGGATACAAAGGGATCTGTAGGAACCCATAGATTCTCCTAGTTTACATTTTTCGTTTCTGTTACCACGTCGCTTGGCAGCGGAGAGGATCTATTATGTTGATCCCTGAAATTTTCTTAACTCATTATGCTAGAATGGGATCCCTGTTTAAAATTCTTGTCGAAGGTCGTCACGCGAACAAGCCGATAGACTTTAAGATCGAGCCGAATAAATTTCGATAAAATAAATTTCGAAAAAGAATAAAATTGAAATTTTCTTTCTTCCTCGTTTGATCTAATCTGTTTGTCAAAAAAAAAAAAAAAAAAAGAAAAAAAAGGAAAATAAAAATAAAGCAGAAGAAAAAATGAACATATCATGGACGACATTGGAAATATAGTCAAAGAATAAATGTCGTTGAAAAATGACGATCGTCAAATTTTTATGGTCTTCCAAGTCTATCCCTTGTGAGAGGAAGGAGACGTTTGGTATTCACGCGCTGATTGTATTCGCCTCGATATTCAGATTCTGTTTTCTAATTGTAAGAAGCGTTCGTGCACGTCCAAATATCCTTCACGAACTACAATTCGATAGGTATACATATTATACACCGGTTTGAATCATTTAGATATTGGTTTCTTTGAATCAGACCAATTCAATTCCGTGTTATCAAGTTAAAAAAGACTTATGAGTTCCCAGGGGAATCCGCAACTCGTACATTCTTGGAACTTGACTATATTACGGCGAATCTCGTTCGCGAGTTCGGCGAAAAAGATTTTCAAATAAAAAGTGTCGCGTATATATGGCATTCGAGTTTCGTAATTTTCGCGATACGCAATGACTCACTTTCTACCTTGATCGAGCGTCTTCCTTCAAGTTAGTATTCACACAACCGAGGTGCATTGAATTTCGTCGTGCCTCACTTGTGGCTTTCACGAAAGGAACTTTCGCACATCTCCGCTAAGATCATTGCAGCGCCCCAGAGGTGTCTCAACGCACATGGGAAATCCAATCCGTAAGAAAGTCCACGAAGAGGACAAGAAAGAACTAGACGACGACGAATATAAACGATCACTGATCTTGATCACTCGCTGTCACCAATACGATAAGACGCAACTCATCGCCGGTGATCGACGCGTGCTCACTTTTGCATTCTCTGTTTATCGAAACTTTCACTAATTATTTTCCACGTTATTGCGGACTTACCTATCGAGGACGGTCGTCGAAATTCTTCGAAGGAGATTCTTACGAGATGCGGCAATCATTCGAAGGTGCTACGTCTTCTCCTCTCACACGAGGCACGATATCTTGAAATTTCGCGCGAAGACTCGAATACTTTTGCGCGTATTGCCGACCGGCTTACCCTATTTCTTACTTCTCTCTTTCTTTTCTTTAAATAAGAAAGAAACGACTAAATATATAAAGTGGCACGAACGACGGTGAGTGATTGTTGTTTCAAGGGGCCGACCGAAACTCACTCGCACCCTTCGGCGAATTGGTACGAGACAGAAGGCCTACTCACTGCTACTCTTTCTTTCTCTCTCTCTCTCTCTCTCTCTCTCTCACTCTCTATCTTTCTCTCTCTCTCTCTCCCTCCCTCTTCCTCTCTCTCTCTCTCTTTCATACACACACACACTCTCTCTCTCTCTCTCTCTCTCTCTCTTTATTCTGTCTCCTCAAAATCACCGCGACACCGCACCGAACAGAAGTGAACTACTCGTGCGCCGCCGGTTCACGGTACCTTAAATACCTTGGCAGCCATGCCGCCACCGCCGCAGCCGCCACCGCCGCCGCAGTCGTCGCCGCCGTCGAGAATCGTGCGGCCCCTACCTTCAAAGCCGCCCCACGTCGCATACCCGGATTGGCGGGGGAGCAGGAACGATGCTTGCTGTACTCGCCGGATACAGGAGAGCATCCTCCGCCACTTCTTCCCTCCCCTTCTGTCCCATCTGCCACCTCTTCCTCCTCCTCCTACTCATCCTCCTTCTCCTCCATTTCCAGCGTTTATTCGCCTCTCTCCTACTCCAGCACCGAGGTATAATGGCCTCTCGCTCTCTTTCTACGTGCTCCGCACGCACACACAACGGTGGCAGTTGCATGAGAAAAGGAGAAGATGTCCCGATACTCGAGCAATTCTCTTGCCATTCCATTCCCGTCTTTGCGAACGTTTGTAACAAGGTTCATAAACTGATCTTCATCGATTTTGGCTATGTATCTTCTCATTTCCTCTTTTCGCTTCTCTTCGTGTATATTTGGATATATCGCTGAATATTAGATTGGTGTATATTATGTAAATCGTAAATCGTAGAAGTTTCAATTTGATTGTTGTAAAATCAGAAGGATAGAAGGAAAAAAAATGAAAAAGAAAAAAAAAAGAATAAGAAGAAAATCATTTTGCAAATATCGTGATGTAGAGGAACGGCGCCAAGGGCTAACTTCTGTTTCCGCGCATGCGCGTTCTCACGAAACGCGGGAGTCTGCGCCGGACTCTCATTCGCACTTCGTGACCCGTCATGTGCGAAGCGCTCCTCTGAGGTAGCGTTGATTTTTAAAGACGCACTGCTGTCCTCGGCAATATCACCCAGCGCCCATGGAATTTCAAGCGCTCGCGGATGGCGGCGGCGCGTTAATCGCGCGTTCCGCTCCTTTCTACGAGCGTGTCCCTGCACGTTTACACACGTGCTTCCGAGTGGCTCGTGTAAACTTACTCGAGTAGCATTTTTCTATAAGTGTTCCACGTTGCTTTTCATAATTAGCGACTCGTGTTCTACCCATGACAAAGAGGGACCCTCCGTTGAATGAGTAAAGCGAACGAGATCAAGGCTCTTCCCTCTGCCTCTCTCGTATGTATTATCTCCATAATGTTGAAGAGCCGATCTTTCCCGTTTTGAAAGATTCGAAGGATGTCATCGACGTACATACAAGTTCTTCCTCGTCTTCAATCGCGTGTTAACGAGGAAAAATTTAATATATTTTTTCTCAAATTTTTTGTAGGTACATCATTATTCTATTTGCATACATACCAACGTCCCGCTCATGAACATTTATCACACGTATCTCGTCTAATAATCTCATCCATACCGATTACGACAATGTTCGTTGAAATCGCATAGATTCCAAGAAGGACGGTTTGAAATTGTGTTAAGGTTTATCCGGGAATTTGTTCCCGAGCGTAAACCGTAAGGATTGGTCAATGCTATTGGAAATTCAGCTTGCTCACTCACTATCAGCCGGTTTATTTGGGAACGGCCGAGAGAATGAACATTCAAAATTACACGCAACTTTTGAACGTTCTAAGAAGATCGATTCGATAAAACAGATTTTTCCTTAATTATTTATAGATCTCATTTTTTTCTCTCTCTTTCTTTTAATATTTCGCATATTTTCCGTAAATTTCATAATTTTCCGTCTCTTAGAAAAATACAATACCACATCGTCATACAAGCTTATTTTTACATTTGTACATTATTTTAGGATTATTAATTAAATCATTTAATTTGATTTTATTGTGCCAAACCATTAGAAATGCTTACGGTCGGTTAAAGACTTATACGTTTAAAATCTCGACATTTTTTTTCATATTGTTACTTAGCATGATTGAAAATATGACGTTCAATCAATAAGAATTTTAATCATGCCGAGATTATACTAGTAACGGACCGGCCCCTTATTTGATTAACTGTTCATTCCGCCCTTCGTTCAATTTGCCACGTCCTTCGAACTCTTTCACTTTTTCTTTTTATTGTATGCATACAAACATCAAAAGAAGTACATCAATCTAGAAGGTAATCGAAGCACTTTGCGATTCAAATGATACTCGAATAAAACAAACACGTTTTCGAGACTAAGGGTGATTACTTGATGTCGTATCATCCAAAAACTGTTAATTTCAAAATATCTGTATTCGAAATTCTTGGATCGAAAACATTTATCACCCATCACAAGTCTGAGTTTTCTCTGTTCAAAAAAATAATTGCAGAACTCATTTTTTTCTTTTTCTTTTTTTGTACAATAAAATACATCTGAATTAAATTTTTAAAGCTAATATTGAAGACGGGTAAAAACTGCAAGATTTTTTTGCACTAGAAGAAAATCTTATTCTTAGAGCTTTCGTACCTAAGATAAAGATATAATGAAATATTTATAAGCGCGGATTAATAATGTTGATAATAATCAGAAATATAAGCACGCTCTTTGCTTTAACTGACAGTTGTAATAAAATCTAAAAACCGTAGAGAATGAATAAACAAAGAAGAGACCCGTAGTAACGTCGTTTCCAGGCAGTCTTGCTCATCAGAATAGAAGGGGAATTCGGTTCAGCGAACCGAACTCGTCTCGATTCGTAACTCTCGAGCTTCCATATCTACCCACGTTTCTCCTCGCTCGAGAGAGATCGTTACCACTGACACTGACATAATATTGTTGTTCGAGAAAGACAGTCTCCTTCGACGGTCACAGTCACGACAAGACGGTGAAATTGCTCGAATGGTGTAATATCTCTTGCATAAGTGCCATGTGCGTGAGAAAGAAAGAGAAAGAAGGAAGGAACGGTAGAAAGTGAAATGCGAGTGAGAGAAGGAGATAGAGTCGTTGTCGAGCAGACAGTGAACTTGACCTGAATCTTCCAGCAGCGAGAAAGAATCATCGTTGGAGTCTCTTGTGGAAAGGAGGAAGAGGGAGCCGTGGTTAAAGAGCAAAGAGATAGAGTAAGATGGAGAAGAGGAAATTACTTTCAATTTCGAGCTCCCTCAGATCGGTTACACTTTCTCTATCGTCTTCCTCTTCTTTCCTCAGCTTCCTCTCTTTTTTCTTTTTCTTTTAGATCTTTTTATAATATCATTCTTTTGCGAGAGAAAATCAACGAGAAGATCTATTATCGCGATTGTTTATACTGGAATGATTACGTCTTATTTATAATGACGTTTCTTTGAACTTCATCTGGTAGGTGATATAACTGAAACCTTGTGTCCATTCATCTTTGTTGCTTGGCCGGCTGACGATTTTATAGTATTCATAAGATAATGAGTGAGTCATTCGGAGGAACTTTATGTTTTGATATTTTCGTTGATTTCTTCATTGAAATGCGGCCGTCGTTCATTCTCTTTTGGTATTTATGTTTTTGTTTTTTATTAATATTATGGAAAAATGATGTAACTCGATGAACGATTGGAATATTTCAATTTTTGTTTTATGTAATCACCTTCTATAAGGTCGTTTTAATCATTTCCTAATTACATCTTGTACTTAATCTTTTCATATATATATGTACGTTTAATCAATATGTTATATATGAGAATCATGTAGATATATGTACGTATAGAAGTGTATATGTATGCGGATTCCGTAAATACTTTCGAGTTGTTACGATTATATATCTCCGTCAGAACAGTAATTTACTTAGTAAAGTATACCGATTTTATTCGAGTCGTTAGCAGATTAGTTGATTAGGAGGCCTTGCTTGACCTTTCTCCCGTGTGTGACCTTCTTCAAATTTATGCATCGGTAGTCACGATCATCGAATGAATTTAATAGAGTTAACAGTTGTCTTAAGAGAATTTCTGACAAAGAATCGTATTCATGAGATGGATTAATAGGTCGGTTCCTTACAAATAGGATAGACCGTAGTACTTCAACCCTCGACTTTATTCTCTCTTTCTATATTCGTTGCATACGGTAGAACGAGACGACGTCGTTTCTACGACGATATTTATCTTGTTGGCTCTCAGACGAGTAGAAAACTCTCAGTAGATTTAGAAGCAATTTATTGAGTCATCTCTGGTTTATCTGGATCATCTGTACTGTGAGCTGGCATTAGGCGCGTTTGGAAACGAGTTAGGTTCAACTGTATCATGGCTTATGGCCAATTGCTTGGATGTAATGTTTAAATTCGAGGTGATTGCAACTACCGAGTTACGCTTCGTCTTTATTGAATGTTGTGCGACGATAAAATCTTACAACTGACCAACACGATAGTAAACAAACAAAACATATTCCAAATTCAACGCTACATTGTCGTATTTATGTTGATCGCAATGTTTGAAATTTAGATCAGATTGTTTTTTATCGCATGACACATCGATAAAAAAATTAAATTACATCTTGATCGTTTATCAATTGCAAATAATATCGGGCCTTATATGGAACCCTCTTTTCTTTGTCGAACGACGTTGATTGCTTGGACGACAACATTCTTGTCGCACTGCGACATCCGTCAAAGAAGAAGACGTTAAGTCAAGTCTGAGTGATTCTGAAAATTTTTTCTACAAACTGCATACTTCTCATAGAAGGACGTTTTTCTCAATCCTTTTTTCAACATTCTACTTAATTGCGGTTAAAGTGATAACTTCAATTTGATCGATTTCATCGATATCAAAAAGTAATATCTCCGTTCGAATTATCCGTAGAATTTGTCATTATCTTCTCTTACTCTTTCTCCGTTCGTTCTCTCGTAAAACTCCTTATTCGCTATTTAAACGTAATACTTTTCTCGTAAATTAAGGCAATCGCGAGAAGTTCGCATCGTCGCACCGGTAAATGGAGATATTATGCGGACCTCCTGGCTCGAACGATATCGACCTGGTGAAAAATGCTCTTGAACGTGATAGAGAGCAAAAGGAGAGAGGGTGAGCTCTCGATCGTCCGGTTTTCCGGTACTCGCCCGTTTCTCGTGCTAAACTACGCGAAATATGTACGGTAGAAAAGG